GAGCGAGCTCAGGGTCAGACCCTACCTGAGAACAGGCACAGTGCTTGAGTGCCATGATTTACAACCAGTGTCACACTTCCCCCAAGCAAGCAGCAAACAGAACTGTGTGGAGAATCAGCTCTCGGCACCTGCAGCTGGCACAGCTCGGCTGGGCACAGGCCAGGGGCACACAGCTGGGCACAGCACAGTGCTGGGGTGGCTCTGCCAGTCCCCAGCCCCACTGCTGGTGGCAGGGTCGGTCCCACCTCCATCCCACCCAGGAATGCCGGGGGCTGGAACAAACCCCAAGTGGCTTCTAAAGCCAGTGTTAACAAGGCACTGGGCAGCACTGGGGACAAAAAGGGGGCAGCTCCTACTGAGAATCACCGTCCTGCGAAGGCTGATCTTTCTGACACCCCAGACACGTCCTCAGTGAGGTATGCCAGCATGTCCCAGACTCATTTCAGATGACATTACTGTTCATTTCCTCACGCAGAATCACTTGACAGCGTTTTCTGCTCTGTAATTTTACTCCCACTGCTCTTGACCAGAGATACTGACCCCAAGGCACTGCTGGACCACACAGCCATTTCAGCTTTCAGTTCTTTGCCGTCCTCTCTCCCTTGGCTCCCTTCAGTCCCATAGGAAGGTCACCACAGTGCTCTGCAGCACCTTGTGCACCATTCCAGGTCATGAGGGAGCAGAGGCCGAAGTCCCATCCCTGCTGCAGCCATCACAGCAGCAGGCCTTCATGCTGGAGCTCCTGCAGATCCCTTGCCAGAGACCCCCACCCTCCACCCGAGACTCAGTGTAATGCCACCGGATGGGGCCTGGTCTGCTCTGGCGGCGCTGAGAGAGCAGGGTGGGCTGCACACCACCAGCCCTCCATAAGGGCAATGGAGCCACTGCAACACAGCCCTTGTGCCTGGCACAGCCCAGCACTGCTGGGCACAGCACAGCACAGCACAGCCTGGTGGCACCGCAGGGCCGGCACACGGTGCTGACACAGGGCCTGCAGGGCGCACAGCCTGGGGTGACCTCAGCCTCCTGCCTGTCCCATGCAGGCAGAGAAACAAAAGGGCCAAACCTGCAGTGCTTTAAGACCAAAGGATTGTGTTTCTAGTTTTTCTTTTAGAGAAGGAAAACTCAACATTTGTAAAGCTGTGAAAAACATACAAGGGATAAAGTTTGCGTTGATATCAAAGAGGTATTCGGCTGAGAATAGAGTCTAAGGGAACGTTGTTGGCAGTGTACCTATGGGACGGGCACGTGTGACCTTTGGAAGGCAGAGGAAAGCTTCCAAAGCGCAGCTCTGAGCTGCGTGAGCCCCACGAGGAGCAGTGACAGCACTGAGCTGTGCCGACTGCTATGGGGATCGGCAGCACAGCAAAATACTGCTCTGCACATAACACCAGCACCCTTGGACTTCCTTCCATCTGCAGGCTGATTGGCTTCATGGCCCTTCGTTCCATCCTGAGCAGGTCAGATGCAATGGGGACACAGTGCCAAAGCAGGCAGGGGCACGGCGGGCGGTGGGAGGGCTGAGCCCTGGGGCAGGGGCTCCACCACACCATCAGACCTCGTGCCCCCATCGCCGCTCCTCCCCACGGGAAACCCAGCCAACCCCTGACTTCAAAAGCAAAGACGGATACGCTTGGATGTCCTCACAGTACTGAAGTGAAAATCATGCATTTCCCATAACCTCAGCTCTTTAATCCTTGGCAAAAAAAAAGAAAAGAAAAAGAAAAAGCAGCCGATTCAGAGTATGTATGGAAGCTCAGATAAAAGGAAACCTTCAGGAGAATGATCTGCCGTTCTGCCTCCTGGCTCGAACTGAAAAGACTTAACCCAGGAAAGGTCAGCTTCTCAAAGGGAGATGTCAAGGCACCTACCATGCAACTGATGCCTCCGAGGCTTCCAAGCCTCTCAAGAAGCCGCCCAGCACTCACTCTGAGTTTCCCATTAGCACAGCAGCTCCTAACTTGGACCCAATGCTGAAATCCCCCCCAGGCTGCTGCTCCGCCAGTCACTGCCCAGCAAAACTGCAGCAGGCTGCCCCGTGCCAGAAGTAGGGCTGTGCCACAGGACAGACACAGCACTCCTATTAAACAACTGCAAATTAAATAATACGATCCCTGATACGCACGGAAAGTATTAGAAATTTGACAATTTGAGCAAGGAATTGAGCACGACCTTTAGTTGATTAATAGTATCTTAATGATGATTAAGATCTTCTGTAGGATACAAAAAGGGGCTGTTTTCTGCAGGCAGCTCAAAAAACAGTCTCCGCAAAGGCAATTTCTGAGCTCCCTTTTGCTTCACCTGCTGCTTCCAAATAACAGCTCTCATATAGGTAGTTCCACATTTTCCATCATTAAATGTGTTTTACATGACTTTGTGAATGTAAAAAGCTTTTCACAGTATCAAAGGAAATTTATCATATTGACATAATTATCCAGAAAGATGACAGATGAATCATTTCAGCATTTTGTTGAAATGATATACAGTTCTGATGGCTGAAAGACTGTGATGGTGTAAACTTCATCTTTCTTTAACATAAACAGAAACCAAAGCCGCCGTGATTCTCTCTTCAAAGTCAGGAAGACCCTGCCCTGAGACACAAACATTCCTCCTCCTTTTCTCATTCTCAGTACAAGTAATTCTCCAGCACACGCAGCGCTGCTGCACACAACTCCCTTCTCTCCTGAAAATTCACATCTGGAAGGACGAGTCTCCTCATATGACCTCAAAAGAAGCATTCCCTGCTATTTTTTAGTCAGGTTTTGGTTTATCATAGAATCATAGAATCACAAGGTTGGAAGTGAGCTACAAGATCATCCAGTCCAACCGTCTCCTCATCAGCATTGCCACCACCAGCACTGAACCACAGCACGCAGCACGTCGTCCAGACGCCTCTTGAACACTGCAGGGACGGCGATTCCACCACCTCCCTGGGCAGCCATTGCAGTGCCTGACCACTGAGAGAAAAAGTTCTTCCTTATGTCTAATCTAAACCTCCTCTGGTACAACTTGCAGCCATTACCCCGTGTGCTGCTCGTTGCCTGGGAGAAGAGGCCAAACCCCTCTTCACCACAGCCTCGCTTGAGGAGGTTGCAGGAGGTTGCAGAGTGCAGTGAGGTCTCTCCTGAGCCTCCTCTTCTCCGCACTGAACAATCCCAGTTCAGGTTTTTTGTCCTAGGCAACGAGCAGAGGTCATAACACTGACATTTCCTGTTGCTGTCAGAAGCACCTGCTGTCTGCCTTACCCCTACAGCACCACCCAAATGAAGGACCTCATTCTCCACGGTCCCCCTAACCTCACAAATCTACATGACTCTCCTTTTAGCTTTTGCCTCCTTGATCAAGAGTTATGAGTGCAAATGTGGGCGACTGTTTAAAACCCACCCTCTCCCTGACTTGCACTGCACTCGGCATGACATTTTCCTTCGCCCTCCTCCCGTGGGATTCACAAGCAAGGCAGGCAGGGCTCGGTGTGGGCAGACCTGCCCCGCGCACGCCAGAACGATGCAACAGATACCTCCATTAACCGGGGCCGCGACAAAACATCTTCATTAGCAAGCAGTGCTACCAACAGTGCTACTGCTCACACGTCTGCTCTCCCAGCTCCAAGCAGAGCTGGACGGCACCTCATCAGGACTGTGGGTGCACTTTGAACTTCTACTGGTTCTCAAGACTACCAGGACTCCACAGATTTTAAGTATTTTAAAAGAAGTTTTGAGCCATCGGTAAAAACGTGGGCTCTCTGCTAAAACACATCTCATAGACCTCCTGAGCTTCTGCCTGTGTGGGTCCCAAGCAGCCAGGCTCAGGGTAGGACAGGCTGCTCACGCGCGCTGCTCGCTGTGCCACTGCCGTGCAGAGCAGTCAGCAGCAGCACGGCCCAGCTCCTGGGCCCCTGCCCTCACTGATCAGAGACAGACAGGGAGAAGCCAGCCCAGATGACCAGAAGGAAACGAGGGCATAAAGTCTTCTTCTGATGATTCAACTTGTGTTTCAGATTATTTCAGCAGTGCAGGGAGATACGAAGGCTCTTGCACTCACCTTTAAGCTAGTTTGTGCTATTTTACCAGTTTAATATTCCATGTTTTGCCCATCTTCAAAGGTGCATTTCCTTGACCCAGTGTTAGTCAGTCCTAGCACAAAGCCCACACTACGCAGCCATGGCATGAGGTGATTAGGACAACCAAACTCAGCAACTGTCTGAATTGCTCCCATGGCTCCTGTCCAGTCTCTTGGGTGCAGGTGTCTCATCTAAACAGAAGGGCACAGCTACTGCTGGGACACAGCAGAATGCAGGTGACAAAATAACTGTGAAACAGTAACAGCACAATGAAGTCTCATAGGTGCATACTGAGCTTTCATCTTTCTCTTCAAATAAGCAGTGTAAAATGCTGTGATAAAAGCAGCAAACACAGTCAGTGAAAGAGGGAACGAAAAAGGAATATAAACCAGCAAATCAAACTAATTGACTTCGCAAGCTATCCAGCTCTTTGATCATCCTCTCCCACCTTCTCCCACATACTTGGCAAAAAGAACCTTATTTAAAAAAAAAAAAAAAAATCAACAAAAGCTCTTAGGCAGAATTCATTTCTGAGTGGGATGGGAGAGCTGCCCGAGGCTGCAGAGACCTGACTGCACCGCGCCAGCCCTGCCGCCCCCAGCACCGCTCCCAGCTCCTCCTGCCCTACTGCCTGCTCTCACTAACAACAAACCTCCTCAGGAAACAGAAAACATCACAAACACCTGCCATAAGATGGTCAGAACTGCGCAGTATTGTAAAATACAGCTGTTCACCAAGATGCCAAGGGTTAAAGCACCGCCTCATGGCAACAAAGTGCTTTCCTGAAGGCATTTTTCCTGTGTTTTAATTCAGCAGCCACCATCCCACAATAAAAATAATTAATTTCAGCACCAATACTGTTTCGATACGCTGTAAGTACTCAGCAGCAATTACCCGATGAAATGCCGGAGGAACGTCAGAGCTGAGTGTCCAAGCCTACCTTGCCAAAGCTTCCCTTCCCAATCGCCCGGAGAATCTGGAAGTGGTCAAAGTTCACTACAAGATAAAGAAAAAAAGAATTTAAATTTGTAAGTGCTTTATTGCAAAGAGCTTGTACTGAAAAATAAAGTGGGGAGCATTGGTTGAGCTGTATTAAAAATCACCACCTTGCCTCACATGGAAGATGCAGAGCACTGCTTGCTTTTCTTCCAGTGGTCTGTTTTCACCTGCTTGAAGTTGCTAACAAACACCCTGTGCCAGTTTGCTAAGCAAAGCCATGGCAGTGTGGAGGTGTCTCACAGAAGCACCACAAACAGGCGTGAGCTCAGAAAGGACAGGGCCAGGACATCAGCACAGAGCCAGCTCTCGCTCCCCTCCTTTCCCCTGCTCCCCACGTCCCTGCTGTGCACATTCAGTGGGTGCTTTATTTGTGCTTTCCAAAGGACAACAATTAGCAGATGGCACTGACTTCCTCACGTGCAAACCCACCTGCACCAGATCCGCTACTTGCTCCATAGCTGCAGTGAGGAGCCACGACTGGAAGGATCAGGCAGACGTAACCCTTCAGTTACTGCCTTTGTCAGCTATTTGCAAACAAAGCCGCTTCCTCTAACCTGTTGCTGTGATCTGATCGAATGCTGGTCTTAAATACATAAAAAATGCCTATTTGTACCAACGGTGAGGCAACTCCCAGTGCAGTATAACCAGAGAGCCTTGCAGACAAATGAAGGAAGAAATACTGCCACAAAAGCCCATACAATGGGCACAGCACCAGTCCTGTGCACAAACTGCCTCCTCATTCCCCGACGCCGATGCTCCCCTGATCCTGACCTGCCAGCCCACCCTGCACCCCATGAGACCCTGCCCTGGTGAAGGACCTCCGCTCCTCCGCCTCCCCCTCCAGGAGTGCTGCAGGGTGGGACAGGGAGGCAGCAGCTGCGGGGCTTCCAGCAGGAATGACACACGGATGGGAAGAGCGCGCTGAACAGAGAGCAGGGCAAAAATCACATAGGAAGAGTGGGAGCAAAGGATTCACCATAAATATGCAGAGTCCCACTCCCATACCTCCATAAGTGCACATCTGTCATCTCTGAGGATGAATCAAAAGCCTACACATGCCCGCGGAGTTCCTATTATCCTTTTCTGCTCGGCTTATATCCAAAATATTGTTATTGTCACTTCTGCGGGACATTTTCTGCAGAAGAACTCTGACGATTTTGCCAAACGAAATGGAAAACAGCACATTGGCCGCTGCCTACACAGCCCCCCGCCGGCAGCTCCACCGAGGGCAGCGTGGGAGGCGCCCAGCGGCAGGGCCGCCCCATCCTTCCCGCAGCGCCCCGCACACAGAAGCCATCTCCCCACCTCTGCCACCCCTCGGCGACGAGCAGCTGCCCCAGCAGGGCTGGGCGATGTGGGCAGGGGCAGCGGGGGGCAGAACGGGGGCTGCAGCCACACAGCACCACACCGAGGCTCTCCCACCACCCCAGCAGCAAGCAACGCACAGCCAGGCCACAACCTGCTAGCGGCACAATGCTGAAATCCAGCCTCCTAGCATGCAGTGCTGAAGCACCGTGGGCAACAGATCCCACACGCAAGCAAATCCATGAATTGAACCAAGAAATACTCAGAGGAAACCCGAGCAGAGCGATCATGCACCAGTGCTCGTGTTGCATGAGCCCGACAGGACAGCCTGACAATTCTTCAAAACACTGTTTGGAATGCTCGTGTACAAGAGCGTTTCGCTTAAAAAACAAACCCCAACTGTCCTTTCCACGTATCCATGACTACAGCTGATCCAGATTAAGCTCCAGTTGGTAGTCAAGGAATAAATCAAGGTACCGACACTTACCAGGCCCCTGGGCCTGCCAGCAAACACGACCCCGTGAATAAATGTAAGACAGCTCCGTCGATCGCAAGTGCACGTGTTCCAGTCCCGTTATTTTCTTCAGGAATTAGCAAGCAATCCCGGTAAGTAAAAAGCAAACCTCAACATTTGAGGGAGGAAAGCACAGGAGCAGCACGTTGCAAATGTTTTTGAGATTGTTGCTGTTTATTCTGTATTTCTTTACGAAATACCCCGAAGTACGACAAGACAAAAAGCACCGTAAAACTTCACACTCAGCAGAGGCCGTGTGCAGGCCAACATCAGGGCCTGGCGCCCTTCCTGGGAAAGCAATGACTGCAGCCTGCAGACCTGCACCCAGCACCTCATGTCTGAGGAAAACAGAAAATTACCATCACATCTTCAGGACAGAGGCAACCCGTCACTGCTTATCTGCACGTTTTCCAGCTTCAACTGTAAAACTGGGGAAGACTGAGCCCCAAGAATGACTCTCAACAGTGCTAGAGACCTCGCACTGCATACAGACACGGCTTTCTTTTAACAGCAATGCTGTAGGACCAGCGCAGCACTATTAACTTTCTCTGTCAATGCATTTCTATACGTTGGCATAATTCATAGTGTTTGTCTACCTATTACATTACTGCAACCTAGCTCTGGGAGAAAACACCACAGGAATTGATGCAGAAATATTAACACGTGGCCACAGGAACCACAAAGCTTGCTGCCACGGCACGCCAAGAGCTTCAGCCCACAGCCAGGAGCTCACATCGGCTCCACATCCTACAGCAGAGGGAAGGGCCCTGCAGACAGAGGGCAGCAAGGGGTGCTGCAGAGAGGTGGGGATGTCCTGAGAGCCACCGAGACACTGGGGGGTCAGCAGATGTTGGGCTGGGGCAGATCTCAGGGCGAGGGCTACAGGCAGACGGGGAAGGAACATGAAGACCTGTAAGGAAGGCAAACGCCTCAGTGCAAATGGAGGCCCACGGGAAGCTCCCAAATGGAAGGTAAGTCTGCTGAGAGGGGTGGACAGAGAAGCGGGACCGCAGGAGGGATGGGGCTTGGTATGAAAAGCTCTCAAAATGGAGAATAAAACTGGAAAGACCAGGAAAACCAAAAGTAGGGATTGAGGTCAGATGTGCCTGAAACACAGAGGGGTTTGGCGGGGAGAGGGCTGTGCAGTGCAGTGCAGCAGGGAACAGTGCCAGCTCCACAGCTGCAGCAGCTCCATGGGGGCTGCACGGCACAAAGCTCACGGCAGGGCACAGCGCCCGGCATGCGGGGCTGCTTCACTTATCCACGTCCATAGAGGAGATTACATGGGGGAGAAAGATGGAAATCTGAATAGTGGCTGTCAGGAAACCCAAGGGAGCATTAACTACCCAGGAATTCAGGGAACGCTGGTAGATAATGAAAGAAATTAAAGGTATAATACAAGCCCAGTGCCAGAAATGAAAGTGTTTAGAAACTGAGGATTCAAACATACCATTAGGAAGCAGCTCTGAAATCATATAAAACCAATAAATCACTGCATGATGAAAAATGAGTCCCTGACTCTGTAAAGAATCAAATATACCATACAAACCAACTGCAAAGATACCTCAGGGAGACTGGATTGCTGACATTGGCCACGAATCCTTCCTAATTAATGAAAAAATACTGTTTATATTCACTAGGATGCTTCCCAAATGTGTGCCAGTGTTTTACATTCATCTGCTTCTGCACCAACAAGATCAGCAGGCACTGGAGACAGCTGTAACAGCGCAGCACCTTCTCTGTGGCATCCTCCATCTCCAGCAGTGTTAATGCTGCTGGATTAATTAACATACTTGGTGACAATAACCCCGAGAGGTAACCTGACTGTTCCTTAGCACCCAGCCGAGCTCCCTGTGGGTGCAGAGGGCTGGATGAGCTCCTGGTGATGCTGGCCAGAAGCAGAGCCCACAGCACGTTCCCTGCACACATGGTGCCAGGCCGAGCTGCACAGCACTGATGGCACCCCCAGCCCTGCAGCACAGCACAGCACATCCCCAAGGCCTGCAGCACTCACTGCTGTGCCCAGTACACAGCGAAATGAGCAACCAGCGCCTGGGGCCAACACAAAAGACGTTCTGTTTCTTAGTGCTCAGACATGAAAGTCACTGCAGAAGTCAGTGCCTCTCAGCAAATCTCTTGCTGATCCTGGTAACTGGCCTGTGCTACGCTGGTATGGCTCACCTCACAGCTTCCAAGCAATACCAACTCAAGACTGTCCTTAGATGCTGCCCCCCAAAGGAAGGGAAAACTGGATTCATCTGTTACCCACGTAAGCGTGGCGTGATGAGTTGGGCTGCCTCAAACCAGCCGGGAGGCAGCAAGGAGCATCCCATGCAGGACTGTGCCTGGGGATGCTCTGCACTCATTGCTCTCTCTGGGTTTGCTCCACACCTGCTGAGTTCTGCTTCCAAACCTGAGCCTTCAGAGGCCTTCCCCTGTGTTCCCCCACCACACCACTGACAGCACAACTAAGGAGAGCTCCTGATGGCTGTGTAGAGGCACTTCCTCCAGGCAGGCAGTGTGCAAGGGAAAATTCAATGATTTCTAAACGCTGCTTAGCGCATTTCTACAGCTTGCATCTGAAGTGCTATTTTCTCTGTTAGATGCTGCTGAGGATATGCACTTGTCTGTGTATTAAACACACTATTTCAGGTCTACATACAGAGTAACTATTCTTAAAGATGATGATTGCAGAAACAAAGCCAACACTAACCACTCACTTGGAAGAGAAGAGTGCTGCTTCTACCATGAGAGCTGGTTGCACGTGTGGCCAAAGAAAGGATGGACGGGGCCACCAAGATGAGCTGGCTGTGTTCCTGCTGCTGCTGGGCGCTGAGCTGCTGCCAAGCTCACTGGGCAGCTGTCACCCTGACAGTGCACCAAGGCTGCAGGAGGGCAGAGCTGATGCCACTTGATCATCACTGTCGTATCTGGGCTGAAGGACTCTAGAGGCCTGTCAGACACAACAGGAGCTTTTACTCCAGCTCCTTGGATGTGTCACTGCAACAAACCTGAAATCTGTTTCCTGGGGCAGATGCACATTTCATGCTGAAGGACATCCAGGCTTGGATGCATGAGGACACTGAAAGGGAAGGCTGATGTGGCAGAGAGAACAACTGCCTTCACAGCTGCAGCTCTGGGAGGCCTCTGTGAGCACGAGACAGAGCAAGCTGGACCT